GATAATCTTAGTTATGGTGATTATTTGAAAGCTAAGTTGTTTATTTATTCAGTCGCTTCTGACTCTGCGTGACCTCATGGACCAACCCACGCCAGAGCTTCCTGTTGGCCATGGACCCCCTTAACTCCTTCAAGGTCGAGTTAGTCATTTCAAGGATACCATCCATCCATCTTACACTTGGTTGGCCCCTCTTCCTTTTTCCTTCCCTTTTCCCCAGCATCATTTCCTGTCTTCACATTATGTGGCCAAAGGACTTCATGTTTGCTTCTAATAGCCTTCCTCCAGTGAGCAGCCGGGATTATTTCCTGGAGTATGGACTGGTTGGATCTTCTTTTCCTCCAACACCACAGTTCAAAAGCATCTATCTTTCTTCCCTCGGCCTTCCTTATGGTCCAGCTCTCGCATCCATAAGTTACTATGGGGAATACCACTGCTTTAACTATGCGAACCTTCATTGCCAATGTGATGTCTCTGTTGTTGTTCATTTGTTCAGTTGTCTCCGACTCTTCGTGACCTCATGGACCAGCCCACTGTCGGCCGTCACCACCCCCAGCTCCTTCAAGGTCAGTCCAGTCACTTCAAGGATGCCATCCATCTTATTTATTTATTTATTTATTTATTTATTTATTTATTTGGGGTTCTTTTACCTCGCCCTTCTCACCCCGAAGGGGACTCAGGGCGGCTTACAAAAGCAAAGGCACAATTTGATGCCTGCATCATAAAACAATCATACACAAAATTCCATCAATTCCCAGTTGACAACAATTCATGCATTATAACCATAAAATCAATAAAATCAGTAAAAACCAAATACAAACCCAATTTCTCCTCTTACATGGTCAGCGTTCGTTAACTCATGGATCTAGTTTTACGTTCCGCTTCATCAATCCTGCTGGTCTTACTCGCCTGATTGTCTGATTTAATTGCCAGAGTGCCCAAAGGCCTGGTCCCATAACCAAGTCTTCACCCTCCTCCTGAAGGCGAGGAGGGATGATGATGCCCTGATTTCCCTCGGGAGTGAGTTCCACAGGTGGGGGGCCACCACTGAGAAAGCCCTGCTCCTCGTCCCCACCAGCCTCACTTGTGACAGTGGTGGGGTCGAGAGCAGGGCCTCCCCAGATATCAGACTCCGGGGTGGGACGTAGAGGGAGATACGTTCGGACAGATACACTGGACCGGAACTGTACAGGGTTTTGTAGGTCAAAACCAGCACCTTGAATTGTGCTCGGAACTGAATCGGCAGCCAGTGGAGCTGGCACAGCAGGGGGGTGGTATGCTCCCTGTATGTCGCTCCGGTGAGCAATCTGGCTGCCGCTCACTGGACTAGTTGATGTTTCCGAACAGTCTTCAAGGGCAACCCCACGTAGAGAGCGTTGCAGTAGTCTATTCGGGATGTAACAAGAGCGTGGACCACCATGGCCAGATCAGACTTCCCGAGGTACGGGCGCAACTGGTGCACAAGTTTTAATTGCGCAAAAGCTCTCCCGGCCACCGCTGAGACCTGGGGTTCCAGGCTCAGCGATGAGTCCAGGATCACTCCCAAGCTGCGAACCTGCGTCTTCAGGGGGAGTGAACCCCATCCAGCACAGGCTGTAACCCTATACCCTGTTCGGCCTTACGACTGACCAGTAGGACCTCTGTCTTGTCTGGATTCAATTTCAATTTGTTAGCTCTCATCCAGTCCGACACAGCAGCTAGACACCGATTCAAGGTCTGGACAGCCTCCTTGGTGACAGGTGAGAAGGAGTGACAGATCTGGACATCATCTGCGTAGAGATAACATCTCAGTCCGAAACTCCGAATGATCTCCCCAGCGGCTTCATGTAGATGTTAAATAACATTGGGGACAGAATCGAACCCTGTGGGACTCCACACGACAACGGTTGTGGGGCCAAACAGGTGTCACCCAATAACACCTTCTGGGACCGTCCCTCAAGAAATGAATGGAGCCACTGCAAAGCAGTACCCCCGAGACCCATGTCTATGAGGCGTCCCAGAAGGATACCGTGATCGACGGTATCGAAGGCCGCTGAGAGGTCCAGCAGAACTAACAGGGACACACTCCCCCTGTCCAGTTCCCTGCGAAGATCATCTACCAAGGCGACCAAGGCTGTTTCCGTTCCATGCCCCGGTCTAAAGCCAGACTGTGCCGGATCAAGATAATCAGTGTCTACCAGAAATCCCTGGAGTTGTGCTGCCACCACACGTTCCAGGACTTTGCCCAAATAGGGGAGATTGGAAACTGGCCGATAGTTGTCTAATTGAGTGGGGTCCAGTGATGGTTTTTTCAACAGCGGTTTGATAATAGCTTGTTTTAAGCTCGCTGGAATCTTGCCCTCCTGTAAGGAGGCATTAACCACCACCTTCACCCACTCTGCCAAACCCCCTCTGGCTTCTTTTATCAGCCAGGATGGGCAGGGGTCTAGGATGCATGTGGTGGGTCGCACCTCTCCAAGGATCCTGTCCACATCCTCAAGCTGAATCAATTGAAATGAATCCAATAAAACCTGACAAGCAGATGCTCTCGTTACATTCTCAGAGACTGCAGGTAAAGTGGTGTCAAAAACCGACCGAATCCACACAATTTTATCTGTGAAGAATCGAGAAAACGCTTCACAGCGAGCTCCAGAGCTGTCAGGGATCTCGCTTTTCGGCGGGTTTAAGAGACCCCTGACAACTCGGAAGAGCTCAGCTGGACGATTCTTCGCAGATGCAATATTGGCAGCAAAAGATGTTTTTTGTGCTGCCCTTGGTCGGCCCCTCTTCCTTTTACCTTCTACTTTCCCCAGCATAATTGTCTTCTCTAGGCTTTGCTGTCTCCTCATGATGTGGCCAAAGTACTTCAACTTTGTCTCTAGTATCCTTCCCTCCAGTGAGCAGTCGGGCTTTATTTCCTGGAGGATGGACTGGTTGGATCTCAGAACTTTCCTCCAGCACCACCATTCAAAAATCTATCTTCCTTCGCTCAGCCTCCTAGGTCCAGCTTTCACATCCGTAGGTTACTACAGGGAATACCATGGCTTTAACTATGCGGATCTTTTTTGCCAGTGTGATGTCTCTACTCTTCACTATTTTATCGAGATTGGTCATTGCTCTCCTCCCAAGAAGTAAGCTTCTTCTGATTTTCTGGCTGCAGTCTGTGTCTACAGTAATCTTTGTCTGTCACAGCCTCCACATTTTCTCCCTCTATTTTTCAGTTGTCAATCATTCTTGTTGCCATAATCTTGGTTTTTTTTTATGTTTAGCTGCAACCCGGCTTTTGCGCTTTCTTCTTTCACCTTGATTAGAAGGCTCCTCAGCTCCTCCTCGCTTTCGGCCATCAGAGTGGTGTCTCTACTCTTCACTATTTTATCAAGATTGGTCATTGCTCTCCTCCCAAGAAGGAAACGTCTTCTGATTTCCTGGCTGCAGTCGTCGTCTGCAGGAATCGTCGCACCTAGAAATACAAAGTCTGTCACTGCCTCCACGTTTTCTCCCTTTATTTGCCAATCAGTCTGGTTGCCAGAATCTTGGTTTTTTATGTTTAACTGCAAGCTAGCTTTTGCACGTTCTTCTTTTACCTTGGTTATAAGGCTCCTCGGCTCCTCCTTGCGTTCGGCCATCAAAGTGGTATCATCTGCATATCTAAGGCTGTTCATGTTTCGTCCGCAATTTTAACTCCAGTCTTGGATTCATCAAGCCCCGCACATTGTATATGTTCTGTATACAAGTTGAATAGGTCGGGTGAGGGGATACAGCCCTGCTGTACTCCTTTATATATTGTGGGGGGAAAGAGGTTTGATAACAAATTCCGGGTGTATCTGGTGTTACGGTTGTACACATTCATGGCTGGAATCATGGTTTCATGGCTGGAATCACTCAGTTCTTGTGGGTTTTTTCGGCCTATATGGCCATGTTCTAGAGGCATTTCTCCTGACGTTTCGCCTGCATCTATGACCTCACCTCTGAGGATGCTTGCTACAGATGCAGGCGAAACGTCAGGAGAAATGCCTCTAGAACATGGCCATATAGCCCGAAAAAACCCACAAGAACTGAGCCTGAGACTGTTAAGAATTGTGGGAGTTGAAGTACAAAACACCTGGAGGGCCCAAGTTTGCCCATGCCTGCTCTAGTTGGTGGTATGTTAGGAACTGTGAGAGCTGAAGTCCAAAACACCTGGGGGGCCTAAGTTTACTCAGGCCTCTGGAAGGCCTTACTGGTTGCCCTTAGCAAAGATGGCACCCCCCCTTGCTTGCCAGCCCAACCTCCCCATGAGATCCTTCTGCCCTTAACAAAGATGGCGCTTAGTCCTTTGCTGGTGGGCTCGGCCTTCCCCCTTGAAGCCCTTGCTGGCATTAACTATCCCTTTCGAAGCTGGGCAATCCTTATAACTTCAAGGGGGAGGAAAAATCCCAAGAGGAAATCATCCCCGCTGGCCTCTATGGACAGCCGCGTCTTCTGTTCAAACGCCGGAAGGGGAGCGGCCTTGGGTTAACGCGCATGCGCCACTGAGCCCGTGCCGCCGGAAGTTTGCCGTCGCGAGCCGGAAGTGAGGGGAAAGTCTCTCTTTCTCTCTCTTTGGAGGATCTGTGAGGGAGAGCAGGCCGGAGAAGTTGAGTCTGGACGCTCAGGTGGGGGAGAAGGAGGGAGGAAGGAAGGAAGAAAAAGAAGGAAGGAGGGCAGGCAGGCATGCAATGGGGCCTGAGAGAGGAGCCGCCTCCGTAGGCCTTCCCCAGAAGGACCTCATGTCATTGGCTACCGCCTAGCCAATGGGCTCTCTTGTTGTTGCCGAGAGAGAGTGGTTGCCCTGCTTATCCCTGCGCCCCGCCCTTCCTGTCGCCTCCCTCTCGTGGTCAGGCTCCTCAGTGAGGTTTATACCAGGCCTGGGCAAGCTTGGGCCCTCCAGGTGTTTTGGACTTCAACTCCCAGAATTCCTATCAGCCTTTTCTGAGGGGGGAAAGGAAAGGGCCTGAGGCTGTTAGGAATTCTGGGAGTTGAAGTCCAAAACACCTGGAGGCCCAAGCTTGCCCAGGCCTGGTTTATACGCACCCTTTTTTGGAGAAGCCAAGAGTAATCGTGCTGAGCCTTGGCTTTGGTTAGCCAATGATCTATATAACATACAAAATTAGAGATAGGCAGGGAGACCTACTTTACCTTCCAAACCAGGCATGGACAACCTTGGGGCGGCTGTTAGGAATTGTGGGAGTTGAAGTCCAAAACCCCTGGAGTCTCAAGTTTGCCCACCCTTTTTTGGAGAAGCCGAGAATAATCGTGCTGATCCTTTGGTTAGCCAATGATCAATATAACATACAATGATCAATATAACATACAAAATTAGAGATAGGCAGGGAGACCTACTTTACCTTCCAAACCAGGCATGGACAACCTTGGGGCGGCTGTTAGGAATTGTGGGAGTTGAAGTCCGAAACCCCTAGAGTCCCAAGTTTGCCCATGCCTGCTCCAAACCATCCTGTCGTCGTGTCAAGCCCTTCAAGTCATGTCCGATCCTGAGGTGAACTTGTCGCAGGCTTTTCTTGGCAAGTTTTGTTGAGAAAAGGTTTCTCATGCCCATCCTCTGAGGCTGAGAGAGTGTGATGCACCCAAAGTGAACTAGTGAGTTTCCATGATAAATAAATAATAAATTAAACTTTATTTCTAACCTGCCCTCTCTCCCCAGAGGGACTTAAGGTGGCTTCCAGATGCAAAAAATGGCAAATATTCAAGCCTATGTGCAGTAAATGATTAAAACAACGCAAACAGTAGGAGCCCCTGGTAGTGCAGTGGGTTAAGCCGCTGAGCTGCTGAATTTGTTGACTGAAAGGTTCGAATCCAGGGAGCGGCGTGAGCTCCTGCTGTCAGCCCAAGCTTCTGCCAACCTAGCAGTTCGAAAACATGCAAATGTGACTAGATCAATAGGTACTGCTGTGGCGGGAAGGTAACAGCCCAAGCTTCTGTCAACCTAGCAGGTTGAAAACATGCAAATGTGAGTAGATCAATAGGTACTGCTCTGGCGGGAAGGTAACTGCAGATGCAGTCATGCCAGCCACATGACCTTGGAGGTGTCTATAGACAAAGCCGGCTCTTCGGCTTAGAAATGGAGATGAGCACCAACCCCCAGAGTTGGACACGACTGGACTTAATGTCAGGGAAAATCTTTACCTAAAGCAAACCGTTAACAAACAGTTAAAAATAGAACAGTTGAACAACCTTGGCTAAAACATATGCCTCAGTCGGCCACATAAATAACATCTTAAGGAGATTGAACCATTGAAATCTGTATAAATAAAGATAAATATATAAAAAATATGTTGCTCTTTAATAAGTTATAGTAATCACTGTCAACATTGTCAGTCATGTTAGAATCGATGGTAAAAAGTAATCCTCTCCATAATCTAACATACAAAATCAAGTTTTTAGTTGTTTCTTCAAGGAGAGGAGAAAAGTGGCTGTTCTGATTTTTTTTGTGGAGGAAGTTCCAGAGGAAAGGGGCAACCACAGAGAAGGCCTCCCTTTTGTCCCCGCCGTCTATGTCTGAACCTCTGGCCTCCAGAGCTGTAATCCAGGTCTCAGGCCATGCTGGTTCTTTAGCCAGACAGAAAGTGAGTAGATCAAGGTCAGGAAGCTTTGTGACCCAGCAAATTCAAGTCCATACTGAGCCCATGAGCCCATTTTTTCTTTGTGTCTTGTCTTTACTTACATATTTATTTGAGTCTATTTTAATAATAATAATAATAATAATAATAATAACAACAATAAAGCTTTATTTGTATCCTGCCCTCTTTCCCCAAGGGGACTTGGAATGGCTTACAACAAGGAAAACCATATTAGGGAAAGTTAAACAGCAAATCAAAAAACAAATCACAATATAAGGAAAATAAAAGCACAATAAATATGTTAACTATAACCCAAAGGAACATCAATGATCATTATAAAACTATATAATGCTTTACACATATAATACATGCTTTTCTCCGCACCAAGGCGAGACTCAAAACAGCTAACAATACAAAAAGAACACACAAAGTAAAAAAATAAAACAGATTAAAACCCAATACATTCCTTATCGCAACCTGATTATCTAAAACTGTCACTGGTAAAACCCTGTTTACAAATAAAGCTATTTAAAACTATTCATTAACCCCATTGGGAGCCAAGTTCCCATACTATTGAATATAATGCAGTAGTTCTCAACCTGTGGGTCCCCAGATGTTTTGGCCTTTAACTCCCAGAAATCCCAACAGCTGGTAAACTGGCTGGGATTTCTGGGAGTTGTAGGCCAAAACACCTGGGCACTCACAGGTTGAGAACCACTGGTCTAGAGAGACCCGTGGTCCACATAATTTTAATTTCCCCTGAAGCCCTGTTCAAACAAAACTTCACTCTTTTCCTAAATGATAAAAGAGTGGTGGCGGCTTTGATTTCTCTAGGGATGGTGTTCCACAAAGTTGGGGCCTTCCCCAAAAAGGGTGGTTCCCAACCTTTATTTGGCTGTGCCCCACCCAAGAATCTCAAAAATCCTCATCTCCCCCCAATGACATATAATTCTTATTATTCAAAATTTGAACTCCTATTTATTCACACAGAGGAAGTCTGAAAGGCCATGAACTTGGTGTAAAAAGGCTTCCAAACTACATGCGCTTTCCTCCTCTCCAATTTCACCAGCTGACAGCCCTGTACATTCTGATTTTTTATTTTTAAAAGGTGAATGTCACAATTTACATATTTATATACAGTATATGAAGCCCATAAAATCATATGAAATGCAGAAAATTCAGTGTTAATAACTCATTCCCAAATTTCCCCCCTAAAAAAATCAAATTGCCCCCCTCCCCCGTGTGGCCTACCTTGGGAACCAGGGCTCTAGGCTGAGAAAAAGTGATTTGAACAAGTTCAGGAAGCTTTGTGGCCCAGTATGTTGCTGTTGAGCTCTTTCCCTGTGTATTGTCTTGGCCTTCTTCATGTTATGTGAACAAAATGGAGTGAGGTGTATGTACAAGTTGAGCATCCCTTACGCAAATTACCAGAATGGTCTGCATGAGTGGCTGAGTTAATGCTGCTGGAAGTTCACCATAGAATGACACTGGAGGGCTTAGAGATCTCGATATAGAATGTTTTCATTTCAAAATTGGAGTGGGGGTGGGATCCAATACACATCTTATCTCAAGCAATTTGGGTAAGGGATATTCAACTTGTATGATTTCCCTGTATTGTCTCCAATGTTACTCCCTTAAGTGTTTCAGAGAATAAGTGTCGCAAAGGCTTAAATACACAGATGATAGGAGTTCATGAGGCAGCGACAAAAGCACTGGAGAGCTTTTGCTAAAAAGTCAGATTAAGGAATAATGTGATCTTGTGCAAGGTGTTTTTCTTTTGTAGTTTTGAAAAATCACTTTGTCTATAGTTCAGTCTTTTGCAATCCTGATTTCTTGAGATTTTAATAGGACATGTTGGGATAGAATTCAGGATTTTGTGAAAATGAAGGGCATATTTCACCAATCAACAGCAGTTTGCATAAACAGCCTTGCAGGTGCTGGTTACCAGCTGCTCTCCAAAATCTTAGGTGGGACTGAGGGGTGATTTCCACCTTTTCATAGTATCATAGAGTTGGAGGAGACCACATGGGCCATCTAGTCCAATCCCCGCGATGCAGGAAAAGCACAGTCAAAGCCCCCTGATAGAAGCTTAAGACCACACATGGGACCTAACTTCTCTGATGCCTCCCATTTCCTGCTCATACACTAAAAAGTTATTTTAATCTAATGTAGACAATCAAGTCTATTTGTCACAGCAGGTTAGGAGCCCCCAGTAGCGCAGTGGGTTAAACCCCTGTACCAGCAAGACTGAAGACCGAAAGGTCACAGGTTTGAATCTGGGGAGAGCGCAGATGAGCTCCCTCTATCGGCTCCAGCTCCTCTTGCGGGGACATGAGAGAAGCCTCCCATAAGGATGGTAAAACATCAAAACATCTGGGCGTCCCCTGGGCAACGTCCTTGCAGACAGCCAATTTTCTCACACCAGAAGCAACTTGCAGTTTCTCAAGTCGTTCCTGACACAACAAAACAAACAAACAAAAAAACAACAGCAGGTTTACTAGAGAAGAGTCTTCTTGAACTTGATACTTCTGAAAAAAATCCCATAGAGCAGTGTTTCTCAACCTGGGGGTTAGGACCCCTGGAGGGGTCGCAAAAGGGTGTCAGAGGGGTCACCAAAGACAATTGGAAAACTCAGCATTTTCTGTTGATCGTGGGGGTTCTGTGTGGGACGTTTGGCCCAATTCTATCATTGGTATGGTTCAGAAGGCGTTTTAATTTTAGGTGAACTATACATCCCAGCAACTACAACTCCCAAATGTCAAGGTCTATTTCCCCCAAACTCCACCAGTGTTCACATTTGGGCATACTAAGTATTTGTGTCATGTTTGGTCCAGATACATCATTGTTTATGTTCACAGTGCTCTCTGGATGTAGGTGAACTACAGCCCCCAAACTCAAGGTCAATGCCCACCAAACCCTTCCAGTATTTTCTGTTGGTCATGAGAGTTATGTGTGCCAAATCTGGTTCAATTGCATCATTGGTGGAATTCAGAATGCTGTTTTAATTTAAATGAGCCATAAATCCCAGCAACTACAACTCCCAAATGACAAAATCACCCCCCCCCCCCAATCCCACCAGTATTCAAATTTGGACGTATGGGGTATTTGTGCCAAATTTGGTCCAGTGAATGAAAATACATCCTACATATCAGATATTTACATTATGATTAATAACATTAGCAAAATTACAGTTATGAAGTCGCAACAAAAATAATGATGTGGTTGGGGGTCATCACAACATGAGGAACTGCATTAAGGGGTCACAGCATTAGGAAGGTTGAGAACCACTGCCATAGGGTCAGGATCTTACGTCCTATCCAAAATTAACAAGTCCTTCAAAAAAGCCTCTTTAATCAGACATGTATGAGATCACATTACATAGATTAAATAATAGGCATTATTTGTCACAAGTACATGTTTTGTGTACTGACAAATTACATCAAGAACGAATGTAAGGTGATCCCATGCTAAACTAGGACACATCCATTAAGTGATTTTCCAGTTGAGACACTTACATCACATGGCAAATATGTTATCATTAATTTGCATTCTGTAACACAGCAGCATGGGCATCTTTTGGCAAGGCGGCCATGATACTACAATATTCTCCATTTTGGTGGTTTCCTTCTGTCCTTTTCTCCAGACTCACTAGGCCACTGACTTTGTATGTAGTCATAAGGTAGTGATATCAAGACTGTCTTTGTGTCAAAACCTATACCATGCTTAAATCTTTTATCACAGATTCAATTGTTATTATCAGAGAAAGTAAACCCACTTAATCCCAGGGAAATGTGATATGTCACCTATGTAAGTGTGATGCAGTGAATGCACTTTGGTTTAACATTGTATTTAATTCATGGACAGCTGTCTAAACCATTCTTCTAAAGCTGGGCTCAGTGTGTATATTTCCATAGATTTAATTTAAAAATTTTGAATGTTAATCTTCCTGGTTTAAATCCATGACTGAAACAATTTGGAAGTATGGGAAGCTACCATCGTAGTGAGTGCTTGCTGCCCTCTGGTGGTAACCCATCTTCAGTGCTTAACTGTGAAGCCATTTCACTATTTCCATTTTAAAGGATTTTTTTTAAAAAAAACTGCATTTGGCTTATAGATGTTCCCTGTTAGTGATATGGGATGAAAAATAGGGTCAGAGAGAGTAAAAACAGTTTGTACTTAAACCAGTGAACAGGCTAGGAATTGGCATTTGCTTGGCATGAAATTGCATGAGGTTTTCTTTTGTTCTATTTTAATTGTTTAATTTCATTTGATATCTATTTATTTTTCCCTCTGTGTTTTACTGCATCATCTCTGGGGGAATGTGTAACCGTTATAGTGCAAAGAAAAGACTGTTTGATAATCACTGTCCTCTTTGTGTTTTCACTGCAGAGAGTTTAACATGTCTCAGCATTCTAGACAAGGTCATATACACAGACTTGCTTTCTCTTACACAAAAATAGGCACCTTCCTTCCTCACATGATGGTGGGATCTGTCGAAAGGGAAGACTTGTATCTCGCAACAACCCAGGAAAGAGGTGTGTGCAGTGTGTTGGTGTGTTTTACATGCAGACATATTTCATATACCCCTTTGTATCCCTGTAAATGAAGGCCTAATTTCGAAGTATTGGGGGTGTATGTATGAGAGCAGATTATGCGAAAGCAATGGTGGCTGTATAGATTTTGAAGGTTCAAATGTAGTCCAGCACTCAAGACTTCTTAATGGGGCGCTACATCCACGGTTGATAGGCCTGTCAGTTTTATTAGCCATGATAGCTAAATGGGTCTTGCTGGCTCAGAGGCAGCATATTTTTACTACCAGGAAAAGGGCTGAATGAGAATTTGAACAAGCTCCTTGTCCAGTGCTAACTCTGTTATTCTGGTGTGTGAGTGTTAGCATCATTGGATTGTTGTAGGGTTTTTTTGGGCTATATGGCCATGTTCTAGAAGCATTCTCTCCTGACGTTTCGCCTGCATCTATGGCAAGCATCCTCAGAGGTAGTGAGGTCTGTTCGAACTAGGAAAATGGGTTTATATATCTGTGGAATGATCAGGGCGGGACAAAGGACTCTTGTCTGTTGGAGCTAGGTGTGAATGTTTCAACTGACCACCTTGATTAGCATTTGATGGCCTGGCAGTGCCTGGGGCAATCTTTTGTTGAGAGATGATTAGATGTCCTTGTTTGTTTCCTCTCTGTTGTTTTGCTGTTGTAATTTTAGAGTTTTTTTAATACTGGTAGCCAGATTTTGTTCATTTTCATGGTTTCCTCCTTTCTGTTGAAATTGTCCACATGCTTGTGTATTTCAATGGCTTCTCTGTGTAGTCTGACATGGTGGTTGTGAGAGTGGTCCAGCATTTCTGTGTTCTCAAATAAAATGCTGTGTCCAGGTTGGTTCATCAGGTGCTCTGCTATGGCTGACTTCTCTGGTTGAAGTAGTCTGCAGTGCCTTTCATGTTCCTTGATTCGTGTTTGGGCAATGCTGTGTTTGGTGGTCCCTATGTAGACTTGTCCACAGCTGCATGGTACACGGTAGACTCCTGCAGAAGTGAGAGTATCCCTCTTGTCCTTTGCTGAACGTAACATTTGTTGGATTTTCTTGGTGGGTCTGTAGATAGTTTGCGAACCCCACCTCCTTCAAGATGAACTGAACCACCTCAACTGGGCTCTACAGGCCAATGGATACTCCACCTCAGACAGCAGAAGAGCTGCAAGACCGAGAACAAGCCACGGGAGTGAAGACAAAGATCCACCCAGAGGAAAAGTGTTCTTGCCATACATCAAGGGAACCACTGACCGCATAGGGAAGCTGATGAGGAAACACAACACACAATGCTACGCTCAGCAAAGGACAAGAGTGATCCTCTCACTTCTGCAGGAGTCTACCGTATACCATGCAGCTGTGGACATGTCTACATAGGGACCACCAAACGCAGCATTGCCCAAACACGAATCAAGGAACATGAAAGGCACTGCAGACTACTTCAACCAGAGAAATCAGCCATAGCAGAGCACCTGATGAACCAACCTGGACACAGTATTTTATTTGATTGCTGAAGTCAGCCATAGCAGAGCACCTGATGAACCAACCTGGACACAGCATATTATTTGAGAACACAGAAATGTTGGACCACTCTGACAACCACCATGTCAGACTACACAGAGAAGCCATTGAAATACACAAGCATGTGGACAATAGGTTCTTGTGGGTTTTTTCAGGCTATAGGGCCATGTTCTAGAGGCATTGCTCCTGACGTTTCGCCTGCATCTATGGCAAGCATCCTCAGAGGTAGTGAGGTCTGTTGGAAATAGGACAATGGGTTTATATATCTGTGGAATGGCTGGGGTGGGGCAAAGAGCTCTTCTCTGCTAGAGCTAGGTGTGAATGTTTCAACTGACCACCTTCATAAAAAGGGACACTTTATATCAGTGGTTCCCAACTTTTTTTTGACCAGGGACCACTTTGACAAGGGACCACTCTCCAACATTAGTACCAAAAGGGTTCTGAATCAGTTTTTCTTGGAACTGTCGTGCAGATTCGGTTTGGTTATTTGGGGTGCTGATTCAGAAAATTGCATTGGATAGACCATATCAGCTCTAGTTTCTGATAACGGAACATACGGCATCCAGTAGTCACCATCTGCTCACCTACAAAAAGCCATATTTAATAAGCCTCGGCACTATAAGAGGGTTTTGCGAGATCAGTCGCTCTCATTGCAATGGTGTAGTAACGGTGAGGCCACAGACCATATTTTAGTTCTTGCGGACCACTGGTGGTCCATGGACCACAGGTTGGGAACCAAGCTTTATATGTTACATATTCATTAGAGTCGCTCAGAAAAAAACTCAACCATTTCTACAAGAGTGTTTCCATTTTGATTTATCAGCAAGGATTTAAAAATATTTCTCTCCAGTTACTCACTCTACCGAGGACAATTTAACATATGCTTTATTAACCTACATCTTTGGATTTGTGTTCTGATTTCAGGTTTTGACATTTCCAGATAAGTTTCCATACATGAAGGGCAGCAGTGAACCATTCGATCCCCTCAAAGGCTAGGATGCTGCTGAGGGATGGGAGAGATCCTCGTCGCCGAGAAGTGCTCCAGTTTGCATTGTTTTGCAGAGCTGTCACACTGCTCCTCCAGGCAAGTCCTTGAGCACCAAGTACAGATCATGGATGTTACTTAAATGTAATCGAACCACAAGTCCTGCTTATTTATTTTAAAATATTGATTTTTTTCCTCTCTCATAACTTAAGAAAGGAGTGTGGCTAAGTAGCTTTGTTTGCCTGCCAGTGTTCTTATATAAAAACTAGCTTGGGAACCCAGCAGTGCCTGAGTAATTTGAGAAAAGCATTATTTGTTCAGCAATGTTAGGTAATACCATTTAGTTAATTAGTAATACTGTTTATTAGAAAAAAAAAGTCTTTGATTTTGTTGTTTATGAGTGCTCCCATTAGAAATTGCATATATTGTTGATTTTGTTATTTTATATTCTGTTATGATGTATTTTGTCATTGTGTATTTATTATTTTTTATTATTTTGGGCTTGGCCACATGTTAGCCGCACTGAGTCCCCTTTGGGGAGATGGTGGCGAGTTATAAATAAAATGTATTATTATTATTATTATTATTATTATTATTATTATTATTATATCCTTTGTTACAATGTGTTAGTGGACCCTGATTGTTTCTTTCTCCCACTCTGGACATTATTCCACAGATATATAAACCTCAGTTACTTAGTTACTGCGACTGTTACTGCGACTGTGTTTATTGTAATGTTATTTTGTTATTGTATTCATATGTTTTTTTTTAAATGTAATTTTGATGATGTTGCTTGTTGTTTATGTTTTGGTTTTATTTAGATGTAATATGTTGCCCCATGTAAGCCGCTCCGAGTCCCCATTGGGGAGAGGGTGGTGAGATATAAATAAAGTTTATTATTGGTATTATTATTATTATTATTACTAGCCGTCCTCTGCCACACCTTGCGGTGGCCCACTCTGGTGGTCATGGGGGTTCTGTGTGGGAAGTTTGGCCCAATTCTAAAGTATAAATCCCAGCAACTACAACTCCCAAAGTAGGTGAAGTATAAATCCCAGCAACTACAACTCCCAAATGAGAGCCGTTCAGCTGTGGAACTCTCTGCCCCGGAATGTGGTGAAGGCTCCTTCTTTGGAAGCTTTTAAACAGGCTGGATGGCCATCTGTCAGGGGTGATTTGAATGCAATATTCCTGCTTCTTGGCAGGGGGTTGGACTGGATGGCCCATGAGGTCTTTTCCAACTCTATGATTCTATGATTCTATTTTCCCCAAACTCCAGCAGTGTTTACATTTGGGCACATTGACTATTCGTGTAGAGTTTTGTCCAGATCCATCATTGTTTGAGTCCACAACGCTCTCTGGATGTAGGTGAACTACAACTCTAAAACCAAAGGACACTGCCCACCAAAGCCTTCTTAGTGTTTTCTGTTGGTCATGGGAGAACTGTGTGCCAAGTTTGGTTCAATTCCATCGTTGGTGGGGTTCAGAATGCTCTTTGATTGTAGGTGAACTATAAATCCCAGTAACTACAACTCCCGAATGACAAAATACATTTTTTGAGTGAAGGACATACATTGGGTTGTTAGGTGTCTTGTGTCCAAATTTGATGTCAATTTGTCCAGGGGTTTTTGAGTTCTGTTAATCCCACAAACGAACATTACATTTTTATTTATATACTAGTTGTCCCCTGCCATGCGTTGCTGTGGCTCAGTCTGTTGATCTGGAAAATAAAGTAATGAGAAAGTGTTGGTTTCTAATATATGCAATGGGTAAACAGTATTTCTTGCTGTTTCTTTGTCAGTGTTGATGAGTGTCTGGTTTGCCCACCCTGGAACATGCAAGATATCATTGTCCTTCTTTAGGGGTCCCTTTCAAATCTATGATACTATATCTGTGTGTGTGTGAATCATCTCTCTCTCTCTCTCTCTCTCTCTCTCTCTCTCTATATATATATATATATATATGGCTGGATGGCTCTTTGTCAGGAGGACTTTGATTATGTTTTCTTGCCCTGATGAAGGGAGTTGGATTGGATGGCCTTAAGTATTTTCTGATGATCATGGGGGTTGTGTGGGAAGTTTGCCCCAATTCTGTCGTTCGTGGTGTTCAGAATGCTCTTTGATTGTAGGTGAACTGTGAATCCCAGTGGCCACAAATCCCAAATGTCAAGGTCTATTTCCCCCAAACTCCATCTGTGTTCATATTTGGGCATATTGAGTATTCGCACAAAGTTTGGTCCAGATCTATCATTGTTTGAGTCCACAGTGCTCTCTGGATGTAGGTGAACTACAACTCCAAAACCCAAGGCCAATGCCCACCAAACCCTTCCAGTATTTTCTGTTGGTCATGGGAGTTCTGTGTGCCAAGTTTGGGTCAATTCCATCGTTGATGGAGTTCAGAATGCTCTTTGATTGTAGGTGAACTATAAATCCCAGCAACTCCAACTCCCAAATGACAAAAGCAATTTTTTCGAGTGAAGGACATACATTGGGTTGTTAGGTGTCTTGTGTCCAAATTTGGTGTCAATTCCCCCAGTGGTTTTTGAGTTCTCTGAATACCACAAACGAACATTACATTTTTATTTATATAGATATATAAAAATATCTAGTATCTCCAATTAAAATGATTAGATTCTTTGGAAGCTTTTAATCAGAGGCTGGATGGCCATCTGTCAGGGGTGATTTAAATGCAATATTCCTGCTTCTTGGCAGGGGTTGGACTGGATGGCCCATGAGGTCTCTTCCAACTCTTTGATTCTATGATTCTATGTTGAGTTAACTGATAACACCACATTATTCGGGATTGTAAGCAAAACAGCATTATGAAGAGTTCAGAAAGAACTCTACAAAGTGCAGATGTGATTCAGTAGAATAACAATTTATGCATACTGGGCTCCAAAATCTTGTAGATTTGCCATAGTCACCATTTTAGCCATTGTAGGAAATTTGCATCAAATAGAGTGGGCTGGAGTCCATGAAATTAATAAAAACTATTAGCCTCTTAAGATACCACAATTCTCTTTTTTGGTTTGTTTTGTTTTCCCTGCAATAGAGTATCCTTTCCCAGCAAAAAATGTCTAAAACAGTGTTTCTCAACCTTCCTAATGCCACGACCCGTTAATACAATTCCTCACGTTGTGGTGACCCCCAGCCATAAAATCATTTTCATAGCTTCTTCGTAACTGTAATTTTGCTAGTGTTGTGAATCGTAATGTAAATAACTGATATGTAGGATGTATTTTCATTCACTGGACAAAATTCGGCATAAATACCTAATACGCCCAAATTTGAATACTGGTGGGGTTGGGAAGGATTGAGATTGTCATTTGGGAGTTGTAGTTGATGGTATTTATAGTTCACCTACAATCCAAGAGCATTCTGAACTCTACCAATGATGGAATTGAGCCAAACTTGGCACATAGAACTCCCATGACCAACAGAAAATACTGGAAGGGTTTGGTGGACATTGACCTTGAGTTTTGGAGTTGTAGTTCACCTACATCCAGAGAGCACTGTGGACTCAAACAATGATGGATCTGGACCAAACTTGGCACAAACACCCAATATGCCCACTTGTGAACACTGGTAGAGTTTGGGGGAAAATAGACCTTGACATTTGGGAGTTTTAGATGCTGGGATTTATAGTTCACCTACAATCAAAGAACATTCGGAACCCCACCAACAATAGAATTGGGCCAAACTTCCCACACAGAACCCCCATGACCTACAGAAAATACTGTGTTTTCTGATGGCCTTTGATGACCCCTTTGACAACCCCATGGGACCCCCCTAGGGATCCCGACCTCCAGGTTGAGAAACACTGGTTTAGAACCTAAAGAGTGCATTAAGTAGGCTCTGTTGGGATAGATTTTATGATCTGATTTCTAGGAGTGGGGGCTAATATAACAAATTCTCAGTTTGATTGTTTTCACAGACATATAGGCCAGAAATATATAAAAAATTATATATGACCCATTCCAGTCAAGAAATTAATAGAAATCAATGCATGGTGAAGGTGGTATCTGTGGGAGAGCACTCATTTTGATCAAGTCATCTTTCAGTTGTTATTTATCATGCTCTATAGTGAAGTAGCCTTGATTCTGTTCAAAGGTGATAAATCCCATTGAGAACACACATTTTTCAAATCTGGTTATGAACTCCTGATGAAGGACAGCTTCCTAGTTTATTTGAAATGTATCTACATTTGAATACAGTATGTGAACATCCTTCTAGTCTCCATCAAAACTGTACCAGATGAGGGGCTAGTGAATTCAAATGTTCTGATTTGTTAATTTTTTTCCGTGTTAGGAGTGACTTGAGAAACTGGGTGGTTGTAGGTTATTTCGGGCTATATGGCCATGTTCTAGAGGCATTCTCTCCTGACGTTTCGCCTGCATCTATGGCAAGCATCTTCAGAGGTAATGAGGTCTGTTGGAATTAGGAAAAAGGGTTTATATATATCTGTGGAATGACCAGGGTCTCTTGTCTGCTGGAGCTAGGTGTGAATGTTTCAACTGACCACCTTGAGTAGCATTTGATGGCCTGGCAGTGCCTGGGGCAATCTTTTATTGAGAGATGATTAGATGTCCTTGTTTGTTTCCTCTCTGTTGTTTTACTCTTGTAATTTTAGAGTTTTTTAAATACTGGTAGCCAGATTTTGTTCATTTTCACGGTTTCCTCCTTTCTGTTGACATTGTCCACATGCTTGTGGATTTCAATGGCTTCTCTGTGTAGTCTGACATGGTGGACAATTTCATGTGATTTATAGATCACCTACAATCAAAGAGCATTCTGAACCCCACGAACGAGAGAATTGGGGCAAACTTCCCACACAGAACCCCTATGACCAATAGAAAATACTTAAGGCCATCCAATCCAACTCCTTTCATCAGAAAACGTAATCAAATACTGTTTACCCACAAGCATAAAGAAATTACATATATTAGAAATCAACACTTTCTCATTACTTTATTTCCCAGATCACCAGACTGGGCCACAGCAACGCCTGGCAGGGGAGGGCTAGTAATGAAATATATGGGGACATAACATGTCTAATGAAAATCTTTCATTTATATTTTTGAAAAGATGCGTGTTGCAACA